GTTATAGAAGTCACTTGAATATCTTGTGCTTATCAAACTTTCAGAATAAAAATAACACAAACGAGAGCAACACGTTACAACCTTCAGTGCAAAATTCAGTGCAAGAGTCAGACCCATTGAAGGTCAAATTCCAGCATAGTATTAGTTTCAAATTTCTGAAATTATAAATATGATTTTAATTTGAAGCAATATCTATCACCTGTAGATTAAACTAATGAAAGAAATGTTGTACACACAGTAATCACAGTAGACTAAAAAAATGGAGCAGACAAAACAAGTGAAGTTCACAGGCTTCTGTAAGGTAAACTTTAGGTGCATTGCCCTTTTGCTTCATGGTGCAAGAACCATCTTCACTAACAACTATTAGATCTATGTGATGCAACAGATTGTTAAGTCTGATTTGCAAAGGAAAGAGAATGTAAAATTTTTGGAAGAAGGCAAAGATCATGAACTGTAAGGAGGATTTTTTTTCTTATTAAAAATAAAATAAGACCACATGCTCAAGGATTCACACAATCAGATAATTTGTTATGACATGTTTTTATCCTATCTTTTCTTCTTCGTTTCTTGCTTTCTTTTGAATCCTCTGCTGTTATTGATTATTGTTCCTACTGGTTGTCTTCCCATTTCAACTCATTCCTTGGTGTTGTTACACTTTGTGATCTGTACAATGCTCCGTGATCACAGACAAGTTTTAGTATTTTGAGTTTAGAATTACTATTGAATGGTAACCTGTAAACTCTCACTGTACTTGTGTCTCAATCCACCAAGGGGAGTGTGGCTTCTTTTGCACCTCACAACTAAGCCCCCAACGACCATAGCACCTTAAGCACAGTAATTTTATACTTATGGAAGTTATCATCCTAATCAACATTATTCATGCATAGGTGAACTACATATTGGGATAAGCTCTTTAAAATTATCTGATTATGTATGCTAATATTATTTCTCTAAAGTAGCCTAAAGATCCCTCAGCAAAGTCACAATCAAATGAAATTATCCTAAAGCAACACTAGATCTTTGATCCCAGTCCTAAAAGTCTTCGGTCTAGAGCAGACAGTTGTCCAGCAGAACCAAAGCCCAGAAAGCAAATTTACAAGTTGCCTCAACACATTTAGGCTGAATATATTAGACTTCTATTCAAGGAAATTACCAAGAATCAATTAGTTCAACAATTCTTTTACTTGAACATATGGTTAGATTCAAGTAAGTCCTAGGATCAACACTCACACAGAAAAAGTCCAACCAATACGTCAGTTGAAGTGGTTAATAATTTCCATTCAAACACTCGAGATCTAAATGGATGACCAAACCTGCCTATTTTCGATTAACTGAGATCATTACCTGTTCTCTCTTCATTAGTATCCTCTATGAATTAGTTCAGGAAAGATGCATGGCCCAAAAGGAGTATTATGAGCTTTCTATTTTCGAACTTAGAAGAATTAATCGACATAGAACAATGATCTTAGTTGTAGATTACTATGGTTCTAAAATTAGAAAAAGGGAGGTTCGTGTGTGTGTGCGGGTTGTGGGGGAGGGGGGGGGGGTGGGGAGGACGGCGGGGGAGTGGGGCGGGGGTGGTGTCAAACACTTTTCCTTTTTATCTATCATTTATTTGTTTCCCCTCTCAGCTCATATTCCCATCATCTTTCTCTACTCCCTTAACAGATATTCCCCATCTTCCACTTGTTTATCACCGTCATCAGTTAGCAGAAGCTTGGTATACATCAGATCTAAATTCATCTCGGTGCATTCCTTCAATTAACGAAGGGCAGCGGCAACTTTCCGCCGCAAGGTCCAAGTTCGATCACTCGACCGCACCGTTAACGGAATCACGCTGCGGCCCTGATCGAAGAATCGGAAAGAGAGGGGAATAAGGAGATTGATCCGTACCCGAAGCCGCTGGAATCCATCAATCAAGGCGGCGTGGTGGAGAAAAGAGGAGGAGCGGCCAAGGGCTCGGAGCTTCTCACCGACACCCAAGGCCAAGACGGAGGAGAAGGAGGGCTTCCCGGTGCCTCAGTAGCTCGCGGGAGGGATGGAGGAGGAAAGAAGAGGGAGCTCTTTCACTTCCTTGTGGAAGAATTGGTCGACCGCGACGGGGAGAGAGCGCTGCGGAGGGGGGAGGGGGAGATCGGAATCGTTGGGAACAGCGTCCGTCTCCCTCTCTCTCTATCCTAATTACATTTCGGGCTCCACGGAACAAAGCAAGTGGATATATTTGTTTCAGGCAAAAGGACGCAAGTGGGTGCGCGGTGACGATTGCAACTTGCAATACGCACCGTGATGCGCCGGTTCGATTCGGATTCCGTTTCGACCATTCGGACCGGCCAGTCCGGTTCAATTGCGCGATCAATTTGGTTCGGATTACAAAAGACGATACGATTCCAAAAAATCATATTATAATATATAACATCGATATTACATATATTTCATATGGATTGGTTATATAATTTTGAGTGACAAAACAGGGAAAAACTTTGTGTCATAATAATAAAATCCAAATCGGACCAATTTTGTGTCACATATTATCAAAGGTATTTTAAACTTTATAAGAGGATATTTAATAATATTCATTGCTCCATCAGTCTCTTATACTATTCCTATCATCCTCTTTCACCATATTATAAAATATTATTCCTCATATATTTTAACATAATATATCTTTTTGGAAAAAAAAAATATGAGATTCACGATTTGAACAAATAATCCAATAAAAGAATTAATATATTATGGTCCTAATAACTATGTTTTAATTTGCAATAAAAAGTTGTAATTAGTTCCTTAAATCTCCTGATTTTGGAAAGAAATTAGTTGGGAATTAAATATGAAAGAAAATTCCAAATATATGTCACCATTTACTTGACAGAACAAGTTCACTTATAGCTTTCCTCGATGCTTTGAATCCCAAAGACCAGAGATCTCTGAACAGTCTATAAACTTCTCAGCTGCTCATCTAAATTAGATTCCAGCATAGATGTAACTACTGATTAGATGTTTCATGCAAACCACAACATTCATGAACTGATACCAAAATCACATTGATTCTAGTTCAACAATAACAATAACAATAATATATATATATATATATATGAACAGTCTATTAACTTCTCTGCTGTGTCATCTAAATTAGATTCCAGCACAGATGTAACTATTGATTAGATGTTTCATGCTAACCAAAACATTCATAAACTGATACAAAAATCACATTGTTACCAAGAGTAGGATATTATTTCTAGTTCAATTAGAAGCATTCATATATCCTTTTATTTATCTTTCCATGGAAAGTAATACTAATTCAATTCACCAATTAAAACAAGATAATTCAATTCAGATCAAGTTAACCAACAAGTGGAATTGCAACTTGGATAGCAGTGAAATAAAGGAGCCCAAAAAAATCTAAACTATATGCAGACCAAAACAGAATTAGACTGATCCAACAAAATAATGACAACCAGTCTTGCAAATTGCAGTCTCATCCTTGTAGCTAGCTATTCAAATGGATCCAGGCATGAAAACATCACTATGGTGTAGCATTCCATGAAAGAGACTTCACAGTAAAAACCACAGAGAGTTGAAACAAATAATCATCTGGCAAATAGTTTTCTACAGCAGTGCTAATTTCTATGGGAAGGTTAATCAACATCAGAAACACTTATTGTGAGACAGAAATTAGTTTATAATAAAAAGGAACTAAGGCATTTTAACTATAATCAACAAAAAACAAACACAAGGCAACTAGTACAGAAGCTGGCATGCTTAGTTGATAACAGTGCCATGTATCCCAGAACATTTGCAAGATATCCCCCTGATTTGAACAATCACCTTTCAACCATTTTCAAGCTGCAGTATGGACTATCAACTTCAGAAATACAGAACTACTTGATATATATCGATAATACATATAGATAAAGAATAGGTTAAGACTTGAAACCCATTCATAGTGCCTTAAATTGGAAAAACCCTCTCCAGATAACCTACCAAAGTTACTGTTACTTGGCTTCGGAAAAAAAATAGGGCTAATTTAACTCACAAGGATCTCAAAAGAAAACAAGGCCAATAATGATGACATCAAACAAACTACTTTGACAGTGCATATCAGGAACATTGTCGATCCAAACTGTACTTACTAATCTCTAGAGAAAGAATATGGCATTAGAATGGGGAGACATGGGGAACACAGTATACATTGAACATAAGAAACTATACTTTTGATGACAATTTGAAATAATTCTGGATTTCAATGTAACTCTGTCCCATCAGAAAGAGAGTGGATAACTACTCACCCATTCTCGGACAAACTGGAAATCAGTCATTATCAACTGAACTAGCATCAAGCTGTTGCTTCAAGTGGAACCATTAAAATATAAGAACCACAAAATGCCACTGTATAGGTCCAGGAGAAAAATATGACAAGGGATATGGGATCCATGTGACAGGTTGGATCAAGATCGAGCCAACAGGGCAGCTTTAGAAGCAAGAGGTTGGAAAACCTGGAGGAGACCTTACATTTTCACAACATAAAGGAGCAATTTGGTATGACCCCACTCTTATCAGTCTCGATGGTTTACAAGAATAGTATCACACATTCCAAAACCGATTTAATTGAACTCCAAGTGGTCAATAGACAATTAGCTGAACAAATATCCATTTACAGTTCATAATGATTCACATATCTAAGAAAAACCGATTAAATTCAGAAGATCCTACATTTTTTATGTGCAATTTCAAGCATCATGGTAGTTAATTTTTGAAATTCAAAAAGTGTACAAACCACCTCAAACGAAGGGAAAGTCTAGGACACAGGACTACATAAATCTGGATCAGCACAGGGATCAAAAAGAATGTATCAGCTGCAGATGGTAGAAATTGAGTAATAAAAAACAAGCCAAGACTGAAACATAGGAAATTATTGCTCAAAATTGTATACTCATCATGATCATTTGACAAAAATCAGTTCATAAAGCCATAATCAAACCTCGAGCAACTCTTTCTCTATCTAATACAGCGAAACTACTAGGATATCTAGTAGGATATTCATTCTATTTCAGGCATAAAGCAAAATCCAAGGAAAAAAGAGAAATACCACTCGAAAACCAAGTTCACTTGCAGTACAAGTAAAGACGAAAGTCACTTTCAAGTCTTGAGCAACTCATCGTGTTACCCATCCTAGACAACAGCTTACATAGACTGAGAAGAACTAAATAATATCTTCTGGACATTCCTTATTATGGGAAAAAGGGCAAGCAAAACTATTTGAAAATGTTCTGAGCTATTCAAACGAATACCAATTTGACCAGTTCCTTTGTTGCTCAAGTTCGCATGACCAATTAGATTAGTTCCTCTGTCCAAGGGGAGTTGAGATTGAACATTGCAACCAAGTGTGAGGTCTCCATGCCAATCCATAATAGACAGTTGAAGAGTGGACAGAGCCTGTCTTATAGGATAATCTTTGTCCCTTAAAGTTGCCTCGAGACGGCCCCCATAAGCTACATCGCCTCTACCTGTCATTGCACCTCCACTCATGAGTACTCTAAGTCTTTGGCTAATCATCAACTTATCTTCAAACTTCAGGCCAGCTGACAATGAATCCCCAAGGACGGTTACTGAAACTCCTGCAGCTGTATTGTTCCGCCTGAAATTTTTAAACCTTGTGTCACCACGTAATGTGTACGCAACATCCTTCCCAACAGTCTGCATATCCAGACATAAAGAAGTGGATTTTGATTCACTATGCTTGATTGAACTTGCCACCTCCATTTGGAGAGAGCACTCCTTCTTATCCTTTGTAAGCTGGCCAGAAACTGATAGTGGCATTTTATCTTTGATAACAAATACTCTTTCCACATTCAAACCTTCGTAACCAATATCATGATCCCAGCCCTGGGAATCTAGCACAGGCCTGACAAGCCATTGGCTGGAAGAATCCAGAAATCTATAACGGTGAGTAGGATTATCCGAATCAAAAGAATTGGGAAGCACAAAATCTGGCATAGGTACTGGCACAGATGCAGGGCCACTGGCTTCTTCTTCAACATCCCCATTGGTGTGCTCATTTGGTATATCCGTAGCCATATCTGCCATTTTCTTCATGAGTTTCCGGCGCCTCTTCTCCTCTTTCAACTGTTTCTTATAGAAGAGCCTTTCTCTATAATCTAGTTCCTCAAAATATGCCTTCTTCTGTGCTTTGCTCAGCTTTGCCACTTGGGACTTAGTGAGAGGCTTAAAAGGTGGCAACTCATCATAATCTGAGCCCTCATCGGAATCAGATATCTCACCCAAATCCTCATCCAAGTTGTCATCATCACCAAGTTGTTCTTCTGGCAATTTAGGCGGGGGTCTTGACTGTAGAAGAGAAGACAAAAGAAAGGGTAATGGAGGAACTCTCGGACGAGAACCAAATGTCCTACCGGGAGGGCCATCCTGCAACTTCAGGAGCATGTTAGCCTCTGCCAAAATTTTGGAAGCAAATGACAGTAACAGCAACTGTGGTTTCCAAACCTGGCCATTTGGTAGTACTCTCTGGCCAGCCCTATTCATCCTACAAGCAGAGTGATTCTCGACCAAGGAAACTGGGTTCATGAGCCGTACATCCCCGGCAGCTTGTCGGATTGCTTGCTGAACCACATGAGACCTCTGAGTCACAAACATCTCATAAGTCAACGGACTACCATTTGGGCCATCTGGAGGAGCAGAAGCAGCATGTGTTAGAACAACAATTGCATTAAACCAAATGGATGCTCCAAATATGTCAGTGATGGTCCGCAGAAGTGGAGCATCCCCATAATCCCTACTCTGCATGTCCAACCGATCAAAGTAAAGAACAATATCTGGAGGAGTCTTATTGATAAACCTCTTGACAGAATGAAGTGTTTTCTCGTTTCGATTCTGATCCAAAGAGGAAGAGAAGAGACCAGGAGTGTCAATAACCCTAACCTTGATCCCCTGAACCATGCCCACTACTTCCTGGACCTTCTTTGTCCCCACCTGGAAGGCATCCGTTGGCAACTTAACTTCATCAAATATTGAATTGATGGTAGCACTCTTGCCAACCCCTGTTTTTCCAATGACCATTATTGTACAAGAGAAGTCCAGAGTCTCCTGGCCAGCAGCCTCAAGTTGTTCTGCCACAACACTAGCCCGATCAAAGCTGAATACACCTGGCCGGTTTGTGTTTCTCTTAAGCTGTTCAGCCAGACCTAGCCTGTATAGAACCTGGGCAACTACTACATTATGAGGTGTTTGCCCAAGCCTATGAGCCAAACGAAGAAACTTAACCCGAATCATCTGAAGCTTCTCGCGTGTCTCATCATTCTCCTCTCCATCATCATTTGGTGGCTCTTCAGATGGTTGAGAGACCCTCCGTGGAGCAGAGCCATTAGTCCTAGGTTGCTGAAGAGAACGGACAGAAGGCTCCAGTAAAGGAGCAGAGGAGCCAAGGCCAGCAGGACGAGATGACAAGCCAGGGCCTCCCGAGTTCTCATGATTCAAAGTTGAAGGCAATGCGGATGGGCTAGAACTTCTCTTGTTGTCACTACTTGTAGAACTCAAATGGCCTAGATTTTCAACAGATTCCTTTTGAAGTTTCTTGGTAGTTTCATGCATGACAGCCTTATCGTCTTTTACATAAGAATCATTAGCTGCACTAGTAACATGAGAGCAGGATGATCCATCTTGTTTTTCCATGGTAGCATGTCCATTAGTTGCAAAGCTACCACCTTCTTTTTGCACAGCAGCATGTCCATTAGTTGCAAAACCATAGTTATCTTCTGCACTGTTATCTTTCAGCTGGGGAACTTTTGACGGCTCTTCAGAAACAGCTAATGACTGAGCTGATATATCCTTCATCTGTTGTGTCGAAACCTGATGTGATTCCGCATCATTATCTGCCCCACACTCATCAGAAGTCACTTCAAGGGACTGTCCATTTTCAGAACCTTCATCAAGAAGATCAGCCAGCCCATCTAATCTCACCATCTCAGGCTCCTCAATCTCAGATTTCTTACCAACCAATTCCGTGTTGCCGTCACCGACAGAAATTTCCCTGTCATTCACAATCTCAGAAGATCCATTTGTAACTTCATCCATCCCTTTGCCATCCTTACTATCTGGAACCACAGAATTTAATTTGCCAAGCATGAACTCTTTTTCATCTTCCCCTTTTCCAAGTTCACCATCTGACTCATCACAAGCTGGCATCCCTTCCTCGGATTCAACAGCCACCTGTTCTTCAGAACTCTGATCAGTATGCTGGCTACCAGTCGACGCATCAAGCTTGTCAAAAGAAACTGAATCTTCCTGACCATTACCTTCAACACCAGGAGCCCCATCGAGCTTTACAAGACCGACCATTTCTTGCTCGTCGGGTCTCTGATCGTGTCCTGCAGCATCTGTTGAATCAATGTATCCCTCAGAACCAACCATTTCTACTTCGAGATTCTTTTCACCCACCCGTAGATCTGCCGGCTCAACCACCCCTTCAGGCTCAATCACCATACCAACGTGCGAATCATGAACCAAGTGCTGCGGGGCCTCCATCGCCTCCTCAAAGACCTCATTTTCTCCCAAATCCTTCGATCCATCCTCCGATTTCGGAGGACCGCCATCAGCGCCGCCCGCTAATTCCCGCTGCGAATCCCCATTTTCCGCCGCCATCTCCAGCCCCATCTGCCCCGGCCGGCACTCATCTTTCGCAGCACCCGCCCCGTTTTCCATCAGAAACCTAAGGCATCCGAGCCAGAAACGAAATCACGATCAAGAAAGACCAAAATCTCCGACTCAAAACGAGCCGCCGGCAGCCAGTTCTAGGGTTCCACCGAATCAAAAAAACCCAAACTTCGCAAAAGAAAGAAGAAAGAGAGGAGCAAACCTCAGGATCGACACTGCGCTTCGTCAAGGAAGCCGATATCTTTCAGGCGCGCTGTCTCTCCCTTTCTCTCTTCGGGGAGAGGATCCCTTGACTGGGGGCTCGCGCAATCTCTCTCGAAAGAAGACGACGATTGCGTGTGTGCGTGCGTGTATATAAAGATCAAGAGAAGGTCGACGGATGGGATATAAAGAGGTTTGAATCGGACGGTCTATACAACTGCAGAAGCAAAAGGCCGGGGGAGAGAGAGAGACGGTGTCGCTTTCGACGGAAGGGATCGGTTCGGGACCGTCGGATGATGCGCACGTCATCTGCTTCGATAGGGAAACTCTGGTACCGAAGCGGGTAGAAACCATTTGGTACTCGAAGCTCATCGATATGTTTAAATTGGATTCTCATTAATGTGATTTTAAATAGAAAAATAAATACTCGACTCACATTTAGTTTCAAGTTCAATAAATTAAATAATTAATTCGACTCATATAGTAAATGTGAGATTGCTTAGCAGTGAAGATGATATTTGGATATGATCTTTGTATTTACTCTTTTACGGATTATAAGAATAGACATTACACAAAATTGGTACGACTAACATATAGTATATGAAAATCATCTATTATTCTTAGAATTTAAGTATTCTACTAAAAAAATTTTCATCCCGAGCTTTTTGTTGTCGATAGACTATTATAATTTCATATGATTATTAATTCTATATGTTCTTTGTGTAAAATTATTTCTTAAAGCATTGAACACCTTTTCTAATTAGCTCTAGGATTAATGGCAAAGTAACACTTTAGTCAGCATGGCTTGGTTCAGTCCCGGGTGCGCAAGGTCGTCCACGTCGACGCTCCAACAGTAGGGATCATCGTTTGGTGAGGTCAGACTTGGGCTCTGATTTATAAGTCGGAAAGCTCTCCTTGGCGGGCCACTTGCCTCTCTATCTTCGGTCCCTGCACACAGGTTGGGGTCAGGAAGGGGGCTCCCGATTTCGACCCCTCCGAAGATTTAGTTAGCATGGGGTGGAAAATGAGCAAAAGACCACCTGTTGCAGGCCCCATGATGGGTTTTTATCCCTCCGCCAGGGGACTAGCTATACCCATCATATTTATGATTGCCAACCCTCCGGGAGATGGACTTACTCTTGGGGCGGATGTTGGGCGTCCTTGGCGTCACGATGTTATGTGGTGGCATTGTACTTGGTGTCGTCTCAACCTTTACGGGACGGCGCTGTACTTGGTCGGCGTCGTCTCAATCTTTGTGGGATAGCGTTGTACTTGGTCGGTGTCGCCTCGATCTTTATGGGACGATGCTGTACTTGGTTGTTGCCTACCTGGTCTTTACAAGATGGCACTGTACTCAGTTGGCAATGTCCCGACTTTTACGGGACGGTACGGTACTCGGTCGACGTCATCCCCACTTGGTTCAGTCCCGGGTGCACAAGATCATCCACGTCGACGCTCGGGCGACAGGGATCGTCAACTAGTGAGGTCGGGCTTGGGCTTTGGCTTCTAAGTCGTGAAGCTCTCCTTGGCGGGCCGCTTGCCTCTCTATCTCCGATCCTTGTACACAAGTCGGGGTCGGGAAGGGGGCTCCCGATTTTGACCTCTCTGAAGATCTAGTTTGCATGGGGTGGAAAATGAGCAAAAGACCACCTATTATCGGCCCCGTGATGAGTTTTTATCCCTCCGCCAGGGGACCAGTCGTACCTGTCATATTTATGATTACCGACCCTTCGAGCGACGAACTTACTCTTGGGGCAGATGTTGGGCGTCCTCGGTGTCATGATGTTATGTGGTGGCGTTGTACTCGGTGTCGTCCCGACCTTTATGGGACGACATTGTACTTGGTCGGTGCCACCCTGATCTTTGCGGGACGATGTTGTACTTGGTTGGTACCGACCTGGTCTTTACGGGATGGCGCTATACTCGGTCGGCGTCGTCCCAACTTTTACGAGACGACATGGTACTCGATCAGTGCTATCTCGACTTTTGCCGGACGGCACAGTACTCGGTCAGTACTGTCTCGATCTTTGTGGGATGGCACTGTACTCAGTTGGCATCGTCCGACCTTTACGGAATGACGTTGACCGGAGGGGTATGGTCCAGTATGTTGACCTTGATGCTGATGTGACTGTGAATAATGATTGGAAGGCAAGTTACCAAAATATGCCCGATCACTCAGTAACACCTTTAGAGCTGATTTCATTATTAGAGATCGTCAAGAAATTTGGTGTGCAGCATATTTGAAGTCTCTATCAGATGAATCACCTCGATCGATAAAGGTTTCACACACCTTCAAATTGAGACAGACTCTCTTAACTTTGGCAGAATTGAAACGATCTGATACACAATCTTCTTGGCTTGTTGAACACTTAATAGCAGAGATTATTATCATGTATTGCTTTGGAGAATGTAATATGGCAGATCAAATCCCCCAAGCTTTGTATGTATGTAACTCTCCAAAATGACTTGACTAGTCATTTGTCAGAGCTGTGAAAACTTAATAGATTTTTTTCCTTTTGGAAAAAAAAACAATAATATAAGATAAAATCTTTTTATGGTTGCATACTAATCTACTTTAACACCTCAACTAGCAAAGTAGATACTGGAATTAGATTCATGTATTAAGTAGTGAATCAGGTTTGATTTGGGATTTAAGTAGGATGAAAGTTTATAAGATAATTTGGAAACATATATCCTATCTATTTTTTACCTATATGACTCACCAATATCTTTTTGGTTTAAAGTAGTAGTATCATATTCCTCAATCTTATATTGGTGAAAACTTTATGTACTGATGCATGGGATGATTTTTTATGCAAATGTAAATGATGAAAATGGATTTGTTCTCAAAATCTTACTATCAATGCCTAAATTTTTACTAACTAAGCTAGCTAACATCAAATTATGATTTAAGAGAATAGAAGCTAAAAAAAAAAGAGAGAACAGATTTATTCCTAATTAAGAATGACTGACTTAACAAATTAAAATTAACCAAGTTGAAAGGATTTCCCTGTTCTTTTTCCTCTTTATCAGTCTTTTGAGATTGCAAGAATCCAACTTATCCTTTGCTTCCCTCTTCTCATTATTCTTCCCTGGACAAAAAAAACATTTGGATGTACAGTCCATCATATTAGCATATATAAAGAGGATTGTTTAGAGGATTGGAAGCATAAACTGGGAAGCATTGAAAGTGGAAACCTACAACTCTGCCATGTTCACAGGTATCTGCAAACACAGGCATCAAGTAGTCAAAACATCTAACTGTATCATCACAACATAACACACTTTGACAATATATAATTGAATGAAAAGAATCAGAAAAGAATTAAAATCATCAAATGTGATGTTCTCCAAAAACCATGAATAACTCAAATTCAAATCTCGGCAACCGTCTCTATGCAAGTATAAAGGTAAGGTGTGTATATAGACCCCCGGGTTCATTTCTATTATTTATGTGCTTCAGTTGTCAACCATCAGCAATTTGACAAATAGAATACTGGGAGGAGACAAAAGCAACTGAAGAAATTGCTCTCCTGCTATCAGTTTACTGAAGTAATATTCTCCAGAAATCATGAATAACATGACATCTCCCAGAAACAATAGACCAACAAGAAAGACATATTTTAAAATCAAATAACTCATTCAGCCAAAACCATATATAAGAAAGACAAATAGAGGTAACTGTTGAACAGAACAATGATTTCAAAACTAAGATAACAAAATCAGAAGAACCAGACTAAATTTTCTTTGCTCTGGTTTTGGCCATGTTTTTCAAGGGAAAGATATAACATGCAAGCATATGTCCAGAGCAGTAGAGTATGGTATCACTAGTCCAGTGCCAGCTAATGATATAAGCACAGGGAAAAAAGTGACGAGTACAGGCATAACTTTGCTGTGGACTTGTATGGGTGATATATAAACATCTTAAATACCTTGACTCTTATAGTAGTCACACTGTCACTCAAAGCACCTAGAAGATATACTAGAAGCAATTAGATTAAAGAAAAAAGGAGATTACCTGTATGACAGAGAGCATTATTAACTTAGCCAATGCATGTGTTTACTGATAGTTTCACATGAATACATGTATTACTATACACATGATTGTCAAAACAAGCATTTGCTTTGGTGTTCAAAGGCTGTGCACTTCCCAGATGCAAGCCCAATGCCTATTGCACATCATTGAAAGCTGAAACCATGGGCATATTCAATAATTTTTATATATAGTGAAATATAAAAATGATGGTCTAAAGCCAGCACTGCTTGGAGTTCTTAGGTTGTTTATTATCTAAGCACTAACCAAATATCGACAGCATCGTCACATCCTTCTAAAGTTGAAACCTTAAGAAGTGTTGTTCATGGTCTACAAAGCCCGCCAATTTCTCAACCTCCTCAAACCTCTAGCAGAACATGAATAGCATCCAACAAATAACAATTCAGTAGATCACATGTCATACGGTTGTATATGATAAATCAACTGTTTGATGTGGTGCACTCTTAACCTTAAAAGTTCCAGGAGCTGCACTCCTGATTCTTTTAACCTTAACAGCACAACGGAAAAAGGAAATATAATCTGAGTTATGTTACATCAAAGATAAATTCCATTTATAGTCTTGCATGCTTGAATTGCACATAAATTAGCAAATTAAACTGATACAGAATCATAACAAGTAGAGATCAAAACATGCATAAATCTACAACTAAAACAAGGCTAATAGTTTGGTGTTTAGAAGTAGTACACTACAGACATTGTTGAAGCAAGTTAGCCAATCCACTGACCAGATATAGTCTTATAGAATGATCAAAAAGTCATTGTATTCTGTTTGCTGTATGCAAAAGGAAGAATGAGGCTTTCAGGCACGTAAAAGCAAGATTAAAATGCTCTTTAGAACCAATAACTCAAGTGGTCAAACAGCCACGATTACCAGAGTGCAAAAGAGAGTTGACCATTCTCCGTGACTTGCGCGCGCTTGTGTTTGCCTCGACGACCACATTACCAGGGACGGGGACACCGTCTTCCATGATTACCGGGGCTGTCTCGGATCCAAGAAATGGTGGAACCATATCAGGTCGATTCCTTATTGGATCAAATTTGAGTTCGGGCCGGATCTTAATTGGATGATTTCGATTCGACCCATTAAATTTGGATCGAGCTTGAGTTGTCTCAGATCCGGATTTAATCAGATCGGATCGGGATGCTTTGGGTGACGTACCCAACATTAGTTAACCTGCTCATGCTTTGTGATTGGAAAGTGATTCATGGGGACCACACGCGGGACCGACCATTAAGCGATGCCCGAAGAGCCGGTGGGACGGGGGAGGGTGTGAGCAGTACGTACCGATTAAGAGCGGTGTATTGACGCTGCGAGACCTCTTCATCTTCCGACGACGACAAGCTCGAGTGTCGGGAGCAGGAGGAAATGGCGGAGGGGACGAAGCAGATCCTGGCGAAGCCGATCCAGCTGGCGGATCAGGTGAGCAAGTCGGCTGGGAGTGCCCAGACCAACAAGCAGGAGTGCTTGGAGCTGAAGGCGCGGGCGGACAAGCTCGCGACCCTCCTCCGCCAGGCCGCCCGGGCCGAGCTCTACGAGCGCCCCGCCCGCCGCATCATGGATGACACCGAGCAGGTCCTCGATAAGGCTCTGGGCCTTGTCTACCGCTGCCGCAACCGCGTCCTCGTGCACCGCCTCTTCAGCATCACCCCCGGTGCCGCCTTCTCCAAGATGTTCATCCAGATCGACAACTCTGTGGCCGATGTCTCCTGGCTCCTCCGCGTCTCCGCGCCCGCTGGAGACGACGATGGCCTGCTCCACGGCCTGTGCCCCATCGCCCAGAACGAGCCCATCCTCACCCTCATCTGGAGCAACATCGCCACGCTCCACACCGGTCACTCGGACGCCCGATCCGAGGCGGCCGCCGCCCTCGTCTCCCTCGCCTGCGACAACCAGCACTTCGCCAAGCTCATCATCGAAGAGGACGGCGTCGCGCCCCTCCTCCGCCTGCTCAAGGAGGGCAAGGCGGAGGGGCAGGAGAATGCCGCCCGCGCACTCGGCCTCCTCGGCCGCGACCGGGAGAGCGTTGACTGCCTCGTCGCCGCTGGAGTCTGCTCCGCCTTCGGCAAGGTCCTCAAGGACGGGCCCATGAAGGTCCAGGCCGTCGTCGCGTGGGCCGTCGCCGAGCTAGCCGCCAACAATTCCAAGTGCCAGGACGTCTTCGCTAAGAACAACGTCGTCCGCCTCCTTGTCGGCCACCTCGCCTTCGAGACCATCCAAGAACATAGCAAGTACTCCGTGCCGTCCAAGGCCATGTCCATCCACTCCGTTGTACTAGCCAACAAGGCCGCCGCGTCCGATTCCTCCTTCGACGACGCCAAGGACCGGTGTCTGCTCCCGCATCCGGAAGGTCAGTCCAAAAGCTATCAATTCCACTCCGTCGTGCAGTCCACGGTGGCCTCCGCCAAGGTCAGTAGACTCGCCCTGAACTCAAACAGCGTCACCAGCACAACCGCGCCCTGGAAGCCCCAGCAGCATTCTCTGTCGGGGTCCGGCAACAGGGCGAGGGAAATGGAGGACCGGAGCACCAAGGCCAAGATGAAGGCCATGGCGGCCAAGGCCCTGTGGCAGCTCGCCAGGGGCAACGCCGACATCTGCAGGAACCTCACCGAGTCCCGAGCCCTCCTCTGCTTCGCGGTGCTCCTGGAGAAAGGCACGGGAGATGTTCGACACAATTCCGCCATGGCACTGATGGAAATCACCCGCGTGGCCGAGCACAACGCCGACCTCCGGCGCTCCGCATTCAAGCCGAACTCGCCAGCGTGCAAGGCGGTCATCGACCAGCTTTTACACATCGTCGAGAAGGGGGAGCACGACGACCTGCTGGTACCCAGCGTGACGGCCCTGGGCTGCCTGTCGAGGACGTTCCGGGCGACCGAGTCCCGGGTGATCGCTCCGCTGGTGCGCCTGCTCGACGAGACGGAAGCGACGGTGATGAGCGAGGCGGTGGCGGCGCTGACCAAGTTCGCGTGCACCGAGAACTACCTGCACGTCAACCACTCGCAGGCCATCATCGAGGCCGGAGGGGCGAGGCACCTGATCCAGCTGGTGTACCTGGGGGAGCAGGTGCAGGTCGAGGCGTTGGTCCTGCTGTGCTACATTGCCATGCACGTGCCCGACAGCCAGGAGCTGGCGGACGCCGAGGTGCTCAACACGCTGTCGTGGGCATCGAAGCAAGCGCACCTGGTGCAGGACTGGAGGGCGGACGAGCTGTTGCCGGAGGCCAAGGCGAGGTTGGAGCTGTACCAGATGAGAAAGCTGTAGGTGTAAACCACATCCCCAGCTTCATTCAGATAATGCTGTGTATACATCCAATTTCTCCTGCTTTTTTTTTTCCCTGATTTAAATTTAAGGTTTCAGCAACAAATTTGCAGTTGTAGTGTCATTAGAGAATGCTTGAGATGATCTATGGATAGAAAACATTTTTATTTCCAGGGCTCCCATCTATATGGGATCTGAAGACAACTTAGAAATGATCTCCTTTCCTCGTCTTGTTTCAGTACATTGTACCTTCATTTAGATACATCTCTCCTAGTTTATATCTCCATTTATGGTCCAAAGCAATTGCAACTCTGATGACATTTTTGGCTAATGAGAATAAAAGGTCTCTGACAATGATTGATCATTTAATTTTTACTTTTATTTACTTAGAAACAGGATATGTAGCAGGACATCCATTTAATCTTCTTTTTCCAGCAGTTGAATATGATGAAAATTGCTTTCTGATTCAGTCTTCATCATGATGGTTCCCCTATGCAGCAAAATGCTATTTGATCATCAAAATTGTTCAGTTCCAATTCTAATCTACCAGTCTCATTTTGGATGATGATGCTTATGGTAAAAGCACTGAACATTGTTGCTTTGTATCAAACAGGAAAATTTTTATGAAAGCCATAAAGTGTTAAATCTCTAACATCCACAATTTTAATCAATGATAAAGAAATTAACCTGGCACTTGGACACCCAAAAATGATTCATTCTTAGACATGGATATATTATTCTGGTCTCATCTACAATTAATCCCCTTGTCAATGTGTTGTGCCTTTAAAAGCCCAAACAACCTGAGGTGGCAAGTGGAAAAAGAGATTGATGAATGGATTCTTTTGGTGCAAAGGACAAATCACTTTGATACAACAGCTCTCTCTCTGTCTCTCTCTCATAGTTTAATAAGGCCAAACAATATTCCAAGATATGGCTACATAAATTCCTGGTATCTGGTTCTTGCCTGACCTTCATGGCTGGTATGAATGCATCAGATTCCCAAGTGTTTGAAAGCCACTCATTACTGTGGTGTAGCAGGTGGAGGCAATAGGACAAAGGACAAAGACTGGAACGACCATAGTAGCACAATAATCTATAGAAATGGCAAGTCATGCACTGAAGACCAGGTCCTGGGAATATTAGTGCAGGAAAAGGCACATTCTCATGTGGCCAACCATGTTAAGGCAGCAACTTTTGTTCCAAAAGAAATTTCTCTGGCAGAAGCAATTCTTATGGGTTTAAGGTTTCAGTCCCTGAGCTAATTGTCTGGAACAGTGACCTAGGAATTATTGATTGCTGCATCATCATGGATGTCTCAGAAGTTGGTCCTGGTTGAAGCATCATGATGCTTGGAAATGGTTTGTCTGCCAATCTTTGCCTGTTTAGTCCTGACTTTCCAAAACTTTATCTCCTGGTGCTAGAACTCTGCACATCCAACTCTACCAACAATACTAATTATGTTATGTACTGCCACAACTATGAACCCACTGCTGATATAAGACTAGTGTAAAAAGAGAATAGAAATAATGGAAGCATTTACAAGGAAAATAGCAAAAATTAGTTCATCAACAGAAGCTTCCAGCTACCAAAGTTCGATTCATCATTGCAAATGTTTTCGGGTGCAAAAATGGTACAGGGCTATTCACTCCTACCACTAGCAATTTGCAACAAGTTGTGGCTTTTAGCTACAAAAGCCTTGTGGTTAAAGACACCAATCATAAACTAGTTGCTAGAGTAGATAAAATGGGTTTAGGGGTTCATCACACATGATACGTGATAGTGATTACCAGTGGATGTATATTAAGCAGAAAATACTAGATAATAAATTTTTTGAACAAGATAAACTAAACTGAAAATTACCAAATCCAACACAAATGCAAAATTTTCATGAATGAAATATTAGTTCAACTTACTACACAAAGTCACATATCTTCTTAAGAAGTGCATGTTTGAACGAAGTATGCATAGAAATTTTGTTAAAAAAAGTGTCTGGGAACTTTAAAATTGTATTCAACTAGGCAAGCATGTCGATGACATCCTAAAGCTTGTTAGAGACAAAGGCAAGTATAGAGTGTGGGACTTGTGGAGGTAGATGCTGCTGAAATGAATATTAGGCCAGAAGCATAAATATGTGATTCACAACTGCTATGTAAAAATACACAAAGGAGTTGGAAGTACCTATAACTATTGATCAACAATATATCAAAACAAACTCAGCTTCAAAATTCATAACCTTGGCAATTAAGCAATACAAGAGAAGAAAAAAAAGAAACAGAACTAGTAATAATTGATAAATATAACAAACAACCACAACTATGTAACTCACTACTGAACAAGACCTAGTGTCTATTGGATCTAAATACAATTAAATTTCTTGAATTTTGTCATTTAGATCAGGAAGTTGTCAGTATAGTTCACACTGCATGGAGGATGAACACTGTTTTGACTACAAAATTTTCCAAGCTTCTACATGAAGGATACTTTAGGTGTGGAGGCACATTGGACGTTCAATAAATAGAGCCCTAAGTAAGCAGAGGGCCACATTGTGCTCGTACTCAATGCCTAAATGATTTTAAGCATTCATAAAGACCTGTTATTTTGGTCAGTAAGTTATCATGCAACTAAGAGAATTTGGATACAACCATTGGCATGGGCTGAATATCAACTTGGGAATATCTACCAAACAGGGCTATTCCGGTGTCATCAGTTCTAAAGGACCAGTTCTTCTAACAAGAAATACCAATCTATCAAACTCGAACAATACCGAATCCCAACTTATGTAAACAAAGTTAATAAAAAAGTGAAAAATCATATTTTCAACAATTATCAATTATGTTCATTAATGATAAAGAATGATCTTGAATGCCTGACTTGCTGTTTGAATGTTTCATTTATATTCATGTGCAGGAAAAGTCATCCTTAACAATAGAGGGTAGCAGTGATCAGGGTCATAGTTAGCCCATGTGGAGTCATCGCCCTTCAGGAGTTTTTGATGAATATTCCAGACGTGGGTGTCATAGTTTTCAAGCAATTTGTAATCCAACCCAATTTCCTTGATTTTCTCTATAAACTTGACTAGTGAATCACCTCTCTTAGGACTCAGAAAAATGGCTTCAGAGACCTCTGAACGTTTCAAGAGAGACTTGACTGTACACGCAAGGCTTTCGTGAAATTGCTTGAAGAAAGTGCTACAAGAATCAAATAAGAGAATCAGAACATATGTAAATGATAAGTAAGAAAAATTAACTAGTAAACAAGAAAATTGAATTTCAAATGAACCAAGATAAAAAAATGATCAGTTAATAAATGAGGCGGCTTAAGGTACACATTAACTACATATATATCTAGTACTGCTCATGTTAAAAGTGTATTGTATTAAAACATCCATCTTCATCTTTGAGACATGAAAATTGTTTTTGGTTTTTGTTGTATGCTTCCATCTGAATTGACATAATTGAATGAAAGTATTGAGGAAAAGTTAGTTAGCTAGAAATCTCAAGGTATACAATAAATCAAACTTTAAAGCAGAAACATATAGGTTTTGGGAGCTTATGGTTGGCATAAATTCTAATATATTCTTGGTTTATGATGTTTGCTAAATGGGACCCAAGAATTGAATGAATCCTCATTTCTATTATATGATAAGTTAGCAACCGATGTATCAGCAGATTTCAGGGTTTCCAATATAAGTCAATAGGATACAGAAAAAGAAACATGAACATGAACATGGAAAACAAACTTTCACTATATAAATCAGTCACTAGCTAAAAACATCTTTCTCCGAAAGTCTGCCCCTCAATGTTGTTATGGAAACTATGAGAAGTTTCAGGGAGGGATTTATCATTTTTAAAAATATAAATCAGTCAATAGCTAAACACATCTTTCTCCCAAAGATCTGCCCCTCAATGTAATTATGGCAACTATATGAAGTTTCAGGGAGAGATTTATCACTTATAAAATAAACATATAACAAATGTTATTCCAAACACAAACATTTCAGAAACTAGTCGAACATAGAGATTAAACATTTGCTCTCTCTCTCCATTTGATAACTACAACAGTGAGAAATAACAGAAATCCAACAAAAATTAACAAAAATTATCAAGGATATCAGTAAACATACCAGTCACTTGCAACAACAACATCAAAGGAACTCAACACATCAGAAACTAGATCCTGATTCCAATGCAAGATCATTGATTGTACTTTTGTAGCTCCAAAAACTTGAGCATTGAGACTTATGTTATGCTGAATATCTGAATGCTAAGGAATACTAACGAAATCTCAAACCAGCAGGCACTAGATTCAGATTCTATCAATAAATAATACTTGGTAGTTGGTACAATATCAGAAAATAGATTTCTTTAACTACTAGGGCATATGGCAGTTTTCTTTAGAAAGAATTTTTAAGATACAACAGCTAATTTTCAATACCAACTGAAAAAAAAATGAAACGATGTTAAAATTTGTAGAGAATGTACACCAGTTGTTATATGTGTAATATATGGATTACCTTATTATGGACAGGTAACATGCTTCACCCAGACTATATTGGTCAAATCTCAACAGATTGATGTTTCAACTCTGAAATATTATAATATAATAATATACAAACCTATGAACATAATAAAATTTAACCATGACAATATTCTAATATATGATCCATAAATTTGGTTAAAATCTATATGGCTCAAGGTAAGAGAGATACTCCCAGGTCTGAGAACAACAAACTGGAGAGCAACCCAGCAAAGTTTAAAATCACTTTAAGAGTCTGATTTGGCTCAGTACGTGAGAAATTTTATCTTCGTCCTCAAAATTCATAAAGAATGATAACCAATGGATATAGAGTACGAGGTTAGAAACTAATGTTTATGAATAACATATCATAATATGTTTACTCAATAAATCTACACAGAATCTAGAGATTGATTACCTCCGACTTCAGCTTTAGAAGCCAATTTTCTATCTATACTCAATCATTGACACTTTGCTAACCACCTTACACAGTTTGATTACAATCTTTCTGTAAAAACCATTGAACTATGATCTTTTAAAAGAAAAACAAATTCTCAATCAAAAGTTTAACTACATTATTTCCAGTAATTTAAAAGACTTTTTCATCTATTCTAGTTTAAAGCATCAATTTAAAAGTTTATTTAAAAAATAATAATCAAGCGAATCGAAATAAAAGAAAATACACTATTCGTTCCACTTTTACTTTAAAATCATATGTTAAAAACCCAAGTTTAGCTGATTTTCTCATGATCAAAACATGTCTGCTTATTTTCATTTTTTTTCTTTTTCTTATTTTGAAATAGAAAACTAAGCATGTGACATATAAAACTGTTACCAATGCAACAAAAGACAACTAATTAATTTATTGGCTTTTAAAAGCTTTACTTTGTAATTGATTTCCTGTATTAATGAAGCTAAACCTCCATGATGGTAAATAGCTCAATAAATAGAATGCATCACTAAAATCATAACCCCAAAATTATCTACATTCTCTGGTGTTATCAAAGGTATATATGGATTCTAGAGAACCTTTGCATTAGAAGTCTTGTCTCCATTAATAGCACCTGCTGAGACAACAAAATCTTATATAGATGGCTTCATTGATCATCACGAAGCCGTCAAACATTCAAGAGTTCAAGTGACAAAACCTTAATCAAGAAGACAGGGAATTGTCACCAAATTAAGTTCTATTGTATGATTTGATGTCTTTTAGTGCAAACAAGGTCATAATGTATTAATAAATGATAAATTAGTCAATTAGTATCACAATGACCATAAAAGAACAGGGCCAACACCTATAACAGGATACAATCAACAACATTTGGGTTCCCATCAGAAATTACCACCTCTTGAGCATCTGAACTTGCAGCAATAGCCAATCCAGCTAACCCATAACCTGATCCAAGTTCAATCACTCTTTTGGACCTTGATGACAAAACTTGAATTCATCAATCAATGTTAGTACAAAACAACAACAAAGAAAGCTAAAGAACAAATACTTCCATCCTCGTAACTAGATGTATAATGTTGGAACTCATGATCAATGATTTTATATTCTATTCTGTTTATATTACCATATATGTAAGAAGTTCAAGTGGTCTGAACTTTTAATAGAAAAGTCATGTGTTGCTAATGGAGAAGCTATTTTTTAGCACTGAAAATGGATGGCAAGTGCTTGAGTCATTTCATCATGCAAGAGCAATCATAGCATCAGAGTTTCTATTTAGTTAGTAACATTATACTGGAAAAAATATTGGGTCATAGTGAAATGAGAGGATCAGCATGAGCTCCCTGAAGATAACAACAGATACATTAAATTTCATTGTGTTGTCTGGCCTTTATATGGACCAAAACACAATGCAAGTACTTGGACTTAGAAAAGCCTAATTCATGTCTTTTAGTAACAGCAAGCTAGTTTGATAGGCTGCATTGTGCAGAACATTCTGGTAGATAAAGTGAGCCAACGATCCAACCTTCATGCTCCCCAAGAAGGCAAGTTTCTATACCAAGCAAAACCTCAAAGGTGAAGCTAAAGATGATTGATCAACACAAATTTAATGTCATATACAAGTTTATGGGAAATTTCTACTTTCTTCTATGATAAGTTATACTAACAATGTGATATATGTGCCCATGTAAAAGGTGCTTCGAAGCAGAGCGAAATCAGATGTGGAATTGACTAAAAAATTATAACAGAGTAGTTGCACTTGGAAGCAACAGCATTCTCCCGTCTTACTAGTCACACTTGCATATATTTTTTGCTCTTAACCAGTTCCAGATTCATTCCCGCAGAAGAACAGGCCAAAGGTTCAGTTGTGATAACTTTTCATGATTCACCTCCATGATATGGTCACTTCATGAACAAAATATACCATATATGTTACTAAAGCCTTTAATAAGGTAACCTAGTGCATAAGGCTCCTGCCACTAGGAGGTTTGGCTTCTAAATCTATCAAATATATAATTCCATTTCCTTTTCTTGTTAAAGTTGTTTATAATTTTCATCAACCATCTGTCGAAGGATGTTATTATACTGTATAATAGAGTTGCTCATCCCTTTCTACATCCGTTTTCATCAATGAGTTTGACATTCAGATTTGCAAGCTCCAATGATTTAATATCAAATTTAGATATAATTTCATTTATCTGAAGGGTAAACCTTACTTTTAAAATGAAAATATCAAGAATAATATTTATCAATATGATTCCCAATAGCTAAACTGCAGATCCAATACCCAGATCCATGAATTTTCACTCCCTACAGTGTGGAAAACATCAATGGCTACATAAATAGAATAAGATAACATAGGGAGAAAGTAGAGACTCTGTACTATAGAGGAGAACTAGACCAACAATTAATTTAAGATAATTAACTTGGAGTTCCCAAAACAAACAGACAAAAAAGTATCAACACTACTCCTAGTAACTTCCACCTTAACCTTGGATCGAGATCAATTTTAACTCAAAAAGTAAACTATATAGACAATGTCCATAAATAAGCCAATAAGAAACCCTTAAGCCATCAGTTATCTCCTGTTTACAACAATTCAAATACTCAAGCTAAGGAGTTATTTTGACTAAATCATCATTTAGCATCAAAGCGTAAAATTTTCAGTTTGTAATTCACAAGTCTACCCAAAGAGTTCTCAATGTCTAAACTTCAATTCGTTGTCTACGCATTGACAATTTAATGTCACATGGTAAATGATCCTGAACAATTTGATATAATCAGGATTCAGGAATAATTATATCTCTAATAAGAATTTCAAACCTAAAGAGTTTTTTTGTTTTGTACAATCTTGGAATTTTTGTGATTTTGTCTCTAGCATAGGGATGGAAATCACCTAAACAAGAAAAATAATTTTGATAATTCATTTTGTGTAGGGACATAAAGCATAGTAATGACTAACATACCGGAACATAAAAGGATGATTTACGCAAAAATAAGCAAGAACATCTTCTGAAGGCCAACTACCTACACAAAATATATTAGGAGATTCAGACTTAAAACAAAAATTACAATGAAGATGATTTTGTAACATTTGAAAATATAAGAATGAAAACATGTGAAGAAATGCCCTTTTTTTCTTCAAAAAATCAGCACAATTAGTGCTTCAAGTATAAAGAACAAATTTGGATTTCTACATGTTTGCAACTTACATATGAGCAATAGTTACTTTGTCTAATTTTAAGGTTCACTGTATTAACAATAGACTCAAATGCCATCACGTGAAGTAATATGAAAATATATAAGTAGCACATGAAGTAAATGCATAAATAGCAGGGATTCCTCTCTGAGACAAAATACAAAAGTTTAGACCCACCCTTTTAAAGCTCCATAAAGAATATCTAATGCTATTTGAATGGCTTAGTAGTTCTTTTATTCAAAGATAAAGCATATAATTGCTGTCAAAAAGAATAATCTAATTTCTTGGATTTAAATATGTGTTAAAAAAATAGATGAGTTGATAAATTTAATAGATTGAAGATCTAAGAATTTTGGGAAGGTCAATATTTCATTTCTATGACATGCTCCGGAGGTTTGGCACCCAGAGATAGATTCTACCGATTGCAACTTGTTACTCGTCCAAAGAATTTCAAGAATGCCTTATTCTGATAAACCAAATGCATAC